CCGCCGCCGAGTGCCGCTGGGGGGAAGCGGGAGGCGGCGTTAGCAGTGGTGATAGTGATGATGGGGGTCGAAATATCGATGAGGATACTGGAAGAGCGATGGTGGTGATGGTTGCTGGAGGGAGGTGGGAAGTGGTGGTTAAGTGATGGAGGAAACTGAAGGTGGAGCATGGGAAAGGGGAGGGCGTCAGAAGCGGAGAGAAAGGTAAAGGATGATTCCGAGTTGGAGAGTGGGAAACGGGGTCAGAGACGGAGTCGGTAACGGTCGCAAAGGCAGGCGCAGAAACGAAAACGGGTCTAGAAACGTCACGGAGACGGACTGACGTTTAGACGGACGGCCGTGGAGACAAAGTCGGAGCAGAGGAGATAGTGGTAACGATGGTGTAAGAAAGGAAGTAGAAAGCTGTTGTAGTATTATACATGGGAACAAGATGGCGACGAAACGGACGTGTAGGACGAGGGTGACGAGCAGGAGGGAAAAATAAGGGCAATGGAATGGTCTAGAAACGTTTGGTTTTATTTTATTTGACTTATATATGTCAAATAACACTAAATACTCCATTCGGCATATGGGGGACGAGTAGTATAAAGGTAAAGTATATGGGCATGAGGTGTTGGCAGTTGCGGCAGCAGTGAACACATTAGGACGCTAGAGACAATAAGAACTAAAATGAAGGCAAATTTAAATATTCGATCAAGAAAATTAGAAAATCTTGAGTTGTAATTTCAAACGATACATTTGTATTAGTGTGGTCGTGTTGATTTTTTTAATGGAAGGTAAGCAATTTTATTTTACATATTTACTATATTATTTCTTTCTGTATCATTGTTTTAGAAAATAATAATAATAATAACAACAACAACAACAACATATTAAGAGGAAACATCGCATGCACACAAACCACGATATCGCCAATACAAGTCTTCTAGATTTTATCGATACCTTAAAATAACAACTGGGTGTGTTTAGCTAACGTTTACGAAGATATACCAAAAGCCTAAAGCGGAAAACAGACAACAAAGAATTTTCCAAAAGAACTTGTACAGAAGACTAGAAAAAGAAAACATAGAAATGAGCATCCTGCCAGACAAAGCCGATGTGGAAGAGATCTGGAGTGAGATATGGTCGGCAGAAAGTCACTTCAATGTCAGCGCATCTTGGCTGGAACCGCTCAGATGTTCTACGACGCAGATCGCAGAAATGACTACTTCTCGAATCACTCAATACATACCATAGAAAGTTATGCTGTTCAATTGGAGGTACCCGGGGTTAGATGATCTGCATAGCTATTGGTACAAAAAATGCACCATTCTCCTCGGGAAGATCCTAAATTTCATCAACTACCTGAACAATCCCGAAGAAATGCCGCATTATCTATGCGAAGGTGAAGCCCAAAACCAGTGATACTGTAATCCTGCAAAATACCGGCCTATCCCATGTCTTCACTCTTTATATAAAATCATCACAAGTTGTTTATCGATTACTATCGAACATTACTGAACAGCGAATTCTATCCTTGCTGAAATTCGAAGAGGATGCAGCAAAGGTTCCCTCGGATGTACTTATCATCTCAAGGAAAGAACTTATCATTGACAGCGTCATCAAATCTTAAGCTAGTAAGAAGTTACCTGTTCATTTGTTTTATTGGCTACAAAAAGGCCTATGACATGGTTCCGCATGATTGGCTGCTCTACATACTGCCACGTACTATTCCAACGTGAGTGAATTTCCTCAAATTCACCAGGGACAAATGGAAGACAACTATCCGTCTCGAGGCAAAAAATGAAACAGAGATCACCAATAAAATAAACATAAGACGTGTCATCTTCCAAGGTGACAGCCTGAGCCCATACTGCTTTTCTCTAGTCATGAACCCACTCTTAACACTCCTGGAAGACCTACAAACAGGATTCGAATTGAATGGCACTGAGAAGATCCTTATAACACTCTTAGCCTATATGGGTTACATGCAACTCTTCTCAGGTATGATGCGTGGTCTAAACATGGAAGTACAAATTAGTGAAGAATTTTCCAAAGATATTGAAGAGTACTTGAGGATTTATTATTATTATTATTATTATTATTATTATTATTATTATTATTATTATTATTATAGAAACGGTCATCGCACAGACGGAAGTTCTGAAGAAAAGATTTAACAGAAAATCACAACATATGCACTATTCGGAAGAGCAAACCCCATCCAGAATATTTTATTATCGAAAACTAATAAAAGGAGGTGCGAGGTTCAAAAATTGAAGAACAATGCAATAACGATTTATTGTCAACACAGAGTTAAATGTGTTCTGAAAATGTAATTGTAATATTACTGAGATCTATACGTGTAAAGAACGCACTAAGAATATTATTTTTCCTTATTGTGCCTATAACAGCCGTCAATCTCAAAGAATTCATGATTTACTTAATTTTAGTGTCATCATTTGGAGCATATACTCCAATAATCAAGACGGTGCAACATACAAACTTTATTTCTAGTAAAACAATTCCCTCGTTAACTGGATCAAATGCGGTAATATTGTTGCTATGTTTTTGATGTACTACAATCTATGTCTCTGATTTCGCTCTTTTCCTTGTCCACTCTACTATAAAAATGCAAGTCATCCCATTTCCTTTTCTGTTTCTGACAGTGCCATTATATACTTATTTTCATTTTCTTTAGCCCTTCGAAGACAATTTTATCTTTGGCAGAGATCCTTTGTACATTCCAGCATCCAATATTTATTAACCGCTTCGAAGCTTGTTTCTGTTGAAAATCGTGTTCAGAGGCTTCTTGAGGTGTTTGCACTTGATCTTTTTCCGAAGAATGAGTGGCAGATGTAACGAGTCAAGATAATCAAAGACTTCTGATTATTTGTGAACACAGACCACCTGTATAAAAATAAGACGGATACCATAGGTACAGACTAGATACCTAGAACATTTAAAAAATCAATAACTAGAATTGGAATGAACGTCTTACCAACCACAGAGTGATATATGGCCAGGTGGACGATGAAATTTTATGAACTTTAAGACGTTATTCAGTTAGAAGTAAAAACTGAGTAATTTAATCGTCAACAAGGAATGAATGTCTTGGAGGGACCGGAAAATTTAGGAAAAATATGAATGATGTTTGATGATTTGTTCAAGTAAGCGGGAAGACGTATATTTAAATACGAACAGACCGTAATTTTTTTCTTTTGAGTAAAGTTCTCGTCATTGTTTCTTTTTCTAAGTATTGTTTAATATTGTAAGTAAATGTTTTAATTTGATTTGAATCATGATTTCTTTTTATTTAATCAAAATGTAAGTTACCTTTTCCAAGTTTATGGTGTATATCATAAAATTGTCGACCCTGAAATAAGTATATGGATATTTCTGTTTCCGTATTAGTGGATTTACTTCACTAAAGGAAAAATTAGAACCATCACACAGACCAATAGCTTCAACCCCCTACTCAAAGGACCTTTACTTTGGAATGCCATATCCTAGGTGAGTTGCCTTTTCTACGGGTATGAGAGTCCCGCCTACCATCTAGGAAAATGAAGACGAAAGTAAAGAAGAATAGTCATTTGAAGAGTAGATAAGAAAGCAGACAAAGTTAGAGAAAAGCGAAGAAGATAAAATGAATGACTTCCCATCCCACGAAACCAAATGGCATTGGGAAACGCTATATTGCGATGTAGGTACGTCGAGCAGATCAACACAAATTACAGCATCATGCAGTCGGAGCTTCGGGATTTATAAACGCAAAATTCACGAAATATAGAAGGTAAACTCTCCAATGAAGCTAGATACGAGACTGTAAGTGGAGAGATAATATCCGTTCTGGAAGCTAATTAATTATACATATATCTTGGAACATAATAGGGATGTATGATATGACATCACAAGCTGAAGGGAACGCTAAAAACTGAGCTCACGAACAGACTCGATGCAATTTGAAGAACTTCTCTCAATTCTCGAAACCTCACGGTGGCATCAATACATACGGTTTTCTTATTGTCACTTTTCGATGGGTATTCTCAAACGGTCAACAGATCTAGAAGAAATGGAAAGAGGTGCGAGTCCAAATGACACGTATTGGTTGTCACCACCCAAGAAGCGCCATTCAGAGGATGAATGCCGCAACGAATGGGAAGACGTGGTTTCGTAACATTGACAAACCACCACGCTAACAGATAATAGCTATGAGAAAGTATTATATATATATATATATATATACGACGGGGAAATGTACAAATGCTCTGCATAGGATATTTGTACCCTGAGAGTGAATGCTGTATGGTGGCAATTCAAAATCAGGTTGTCCCAACGAAGAACTATCTTGCATAATGCATAATTTAATACTCAGAAATACATAGTGATGAGAGCCGAATGTATGATCGAAATGAAACTATCCAGCAAATCATCTCTGGGGTCC